ATGCTCCTTAGTTTAGATATTATTATTATTATTATTATTATTATTATTATTATTTTCCTCAAAATTCTGTAACTTCTACATATCTCAGTTTTTAGCTACCAGTTTTAAACAAATGTTTGGAAAAGCAAAGTTTAAACTTTTTGTATTTGGATTTTTAAAAAAATACATTAAATCTCTTTTGTCTATTCTTACAGCAGTGATTATATAACTATTTTTATTAATCTTCCTTGAGAAGGAAAGGAAGGAAAAGTATATGAGTTCTCGTAACACAAAGGTCATTGTTGTCAGTCACAGGTTCTCAGGATTAACTATAGTAATTTTTAATTGAAAAAAAAAACCATTAAAACTAGTAAAAGTTCTTTCTGTACGGTTCCAATTCCCCCACAGACCAGTAGTACATTTGTAGAAGGCCTCAGTAGTGCTCATGAAAGTAAAACAGGCAGAGTTGTGTCAGGGTTAGAGATTAGGACCTGAAATTGAGTTTGATTCTTGCCTTTGCCATTTTTGTCACAAGTTACTGAACACTGATGATTTCTTACCTGAAAGTTATGAGTAAATATTAAGTTAATGGAAAGTACTTGGTGGTATTGCTGTTAATTGTTAACAGTTATTGAAGGTCTACTGTTTGCTAAATACTACTTCCTCCTGGAAGCAGAGATAACTAGTCTTTGTCTTTGAGAAATGTAACAAGGTGGCAGACACTTATAATCACCACAGTGAGATTGTTACGCATATTTCTGTCTTCACAGTGACACTGCTGACCGTGGGCAATACACTACAATACTAACCTGTGTACTCTGATAATTGAACATTTTTTAATACATATCTTGGCCCTTAAAGAACAAATCAGTGTAACAGGATTTCTTTCTTTGAAATTTGTTACCAGTCCAGAGTTCAGGCAAAACATAGCATGACAGAAAGAATATGTTTATGTAAAACATGCCCTTTACAAATTTAATGGTTGATGTTGGCCATTTTTAATCTCTATTCTTTGTTTTCTGTAATTATGTCAACTGTGGTTTATTTTTCACAAATTAATGGTTTAAGGTGGATTTTAGTAGCTTATGATTTCTCTTTATTTATGTCCTATACTCTTCTATGTAATTATTTGCCCTTAAAAGACATCTTTTTAAATTTTCCTGATACAACATACTCAACTTAAAAGCTATACTTTCAGAGGCTGGTGAGATGGCTCATTCAGTAAATTGTCTGCCACAGAAGTATGAGGACCTGAGTTCAATCCCTTGCACCAATGTAGAAAGAAGCCAAGAACTATGACATATACCCATAATTCCAGAGCTGAGACAGCAGTATTGGGATGATCTGTGGGCCCACTACACTAACCAAATCAACCTTAGTAAGGTAGAAAGCAATTAAGAAAGATACCCTGTACTGATTTCTGGCCTCTACATAAACATGTGTGCCTACACACAACAAAAGCTATACTTCTGTGAAAGCCTTATTTCATTGTTAAAGCTGTATGCCTTAAAATATATGTATGCCATAAATAATCATTATTTTATTTTATAGGTTTTGACATTTGCATACAAGCATGCATTAGTAAATAAGATGTATGGGAGAGGCCTTAAGTTTGCAACCAAACTCGTAGAAGAAAAACCAACAAAAGAAAACTGGAAAAATTGTATTCAAGTAAGTAATTATACTCTAGATTACTTCCATACTATGTAGTGACAAGAACACTGGAAAAAAAAAAAAAACCTGTGTTCATTACAAAACTATTGTGGCCAATTGTTACAATTACTAAGGCAGCATGAACTATATAATAAATGCATTATTTATTTGTCGCCATTCAACTTTCTAAAACATTTTCACTGCTAGTCAGAGACCCTTATTAGGCTTGAATGTTTTCAGCAAGGGCAAAATGAATTAATTACTTTCTGTAGTTAGAAGACAATGTTTTCTTTTTTGAAGGAAGAAGCATTCCTTCTTAATGTGTATTGCATTGGTTCTAAAATGGTTGAATTTGTGGAGTTTATATTTACCTTTTTTGTCTGAGATATTTTTACCTTTATTAATTTACCATATGTCGCATATACAAAGGAAAATTAGTTGGATCTTTCTCCATGAGTTAGCTTGAGATATGAAGGAAATTATTTTAATGCCATCTTGTTTTCTGTCTATGTTCATCACTCCGTACAAACTGTAAGACAGTTTAAGTCCTTTGGGCCTTGATTAGGTTAAAAGAACTCTTTCTGGAGTTCCTGTTATTGTTTCTATATACATGTGCTCCTATGAAAAAGATTGAGTTTTGTTAGGAGGGGTTAAGAAGGATAGTCAATCGGTGGATGGATTAATGAATGATAGGCTGGTAGAAGGAAGGTTTTTGTGTATTTGTGACTATTATTATTAAACTATTCTGAATTTTAGGCTTGGGACCTGTCACTTCCTTTACTAATGCTTTCTTTTATTATAGCTGATGAAATTACTTGGATGGACTCATTGTGCATCTTTTACTGAAAACTGGCTCCCCATCATGTATCCTCCTGATTATTGTGTATTCTAAAATAAGAACCAAAACTTTAAATTTCAAAACAGAAAATTTTATAGTGAACGGATATATGAACAAATGTGTTGGATTTTTAGTCTAACTAATGCATGTTTTCATCCACTATCCAATACTGATCATTAAAACTATATGTATTTATCAGAGAACTCAATGGCGTGTGGCTTAATACATGTAATATAGACCTCTGACATCATGCTGCTTTCCTACTGCCTCCTACACTTGGAAAGGGGAGGGCATATCCTGCCTGCCAGCCCCAACACTGAGTTGGATGCAGCTGCTTACTGCATGAGAGGTTTTCATCTTTTTATTTTAACTGTAAAATGTCATCCTGGTTTTTATTTTATAAATCAATCAAAAAGGTCAAAATATGCTAAATTTTTCAAATTATATAGAGGCCTTAAAATGCTACATTAGGTGTAGCTAAATTATTTATCTGACTAAAAATTATGAGAACATAATTTCCAGACTTTTTTCTAAAAATAAATTTAGTTAATGGAAATGGTGGGGGGCATAAACACATGGCAACTAGGGAAAGAAACATGTTAACTCTTCACTAAGGAGTCATAACAAACAAGTTGTTTTTACGGCATCCTCAACTGCACAGCATCAGAATGAGTTAAAGTTTCTTGTGTTGGTGCCAGGCAGCTGAATCTATCTGGTTTTGTAAAGGTATACACAGTATGTTTATAACATTGAAATCATGTAAAATACATGAATAAATGTGCAAAACCACAGGCACAGTACACCATATGCACTCTGATACCTTTTATATATACATATATATATATAAATAAAAGAAAATATTGAAGCTATTCAAGATTGGTCCTAATTTTTTTCATAAAGTCTGGGGTTAGAACACAGACTAGTTTATTAAATTTATAGGCCAAAAAGTGAGGTGACTTATTTTATAATGTTTCCTATGGGTTTGCAGTTATTTGAATATATTTCTAGTGTTTATCATGTCTTTAAGTCTTATATTTTTTTTTAACTTTTTTTATTGGATATTTTATTTATATTTCAGATGTTATCCCCTTACCCCCACCCCCACCCCTGCCCAGGAACTCCCTATCCCATCCCCCCTCCTCCTGCTTCTATGAGGATGTGCCCCCCCTACTCCCACCTATCCACCCCTGAATTTCCACCACCACCCACTGGGAGTCCAGCCTTCATGGGACCAAGGATCTCCTCTCCCACCTTTGCCCAACAAGGCCATCCTCCCGTATATATACAGCTGGAGCCATGGACCCCTCCCTAAGTGCTCCCTGGGAGCTCTGGTTGGTTGGTATTGTTGCTCTCCCCATGGGGCTGCAAACCCTTTCAGCTTCTTCAGTCTCCTACATTGGGAACCCCTTGTTCAGTTCAATGGTTAGCTGTGAGCATACACCTCTGAATATGTCAGACTCTGGCAGACAGACCTCTTTCTGTCAGCATGCACTTCCTGGCATCCATATCAATGTCTACCTTTAGTGACTACACAAGGGACGGATATCCAGGAGGAGCAGTCTCTGGACAGCCCCTCTTTCAGTTTCTGTCCCTCACTTTGTCTCCATATTTGCTCCCTTGAGTATTTTGTTACTCCTTCTAAGAAGGACCAAAGCACCCATACTTGATCTTCCTTCTTCATGAGCTTCATGTGGCCTGTGAGTTGAATTTTGGGTATTTCAAACTTCTGGGCTAATATCCACTTATCAGTGAGTGAATGCCATGTGTGTTCTTTTGTTATTGAGTTACCTCACTCAGGATGATATTTTCTAGTTCTATCCACTTACCTAAGAATTTCTCAAATTCATTGTTTTTAATAGCTGAGTAATGCTCCATTGTGTAAATATGCCACATTTTTTTGTATCCATTCCTCTGTTGAAGGATATCTGGGTTCTTTCCAGCTTCTTACTATTATAAATAAGGCTGCTATGAACATAGTGGAGCATATGTCCTTGTTATATGTTGGAGCGTCTTCTGGGTATATGTTCAGGAGTGGTATAGCTGGGTCTTCAGGTAATGATAGGTCCAATTTTCTGAAGAACCACCAGATTGATTTCCAGAATGGTTGCACCATCTTGCAATCCCACCAACAATGGAGGAGTGTTCCTCTTTCTCCACATCCTCGCCAGCATCTATTATCACCTATATGTGAGAGAGTGTGTGTGTGTGTGTGTGTGATCTTTGTTCCTTGATTTATTGCTATAAAAGATTTTCTAGTTAATCCCTTCTAGTCGTTTGTAAATTTTTTTTAATTTGACAAAAACAGCTTTATGAAAAGCTACAAATATGTTTTAAAATGTTTTGCATGCAGTTTCTATAGGATCCTTTTGTCTAACATCCTTTTGAGGATAGCTAGCTGAGTACATGAACTCTCATACGTGTTTTTACCTGTACACATACAGGTACATAATCCAGTTTTAGCTCAGAAAGATTATAGCAACTTCCAAACATCACTTCAGAGTGACCTATTACTAATTTCAGAATCTGTTTTACCAGGCAGGTAACTCAGGAAAGGTCAGTAAACTATGGCCATTGAATCGTATGTAAATAGTTTTATCAGCATAGTTCTGTAACTGGGAGAGTCAGGGTGCTACCATGTATCATTTCCTGTCTAAATCATACTGTGCTTCTTGAGAACAGATGATCTCAAGTAAGCTCTACACTAGATCATATCCTTAAACCAAAAAAAAAAAAAAAAATTGTAAGATGCATGGATAAGGTGGTGACTGAAAGTCATTGTGTCAAATGCCTACACTACTCACACTGAAAACAACTGAAGAACTAGGGAAAGGTAACTTCCTAAGGAAACATTAGAGCTGCATAATGTGGTTGGGATTACTTCCTGAGGACATTTCCAGCTATAAGCAGTTTGTCACAGGATGTTCTACTCCTTCTTAATCCTAGAATTACATATTCTTTACACAAGACTCAAATCTCACTTGTGGTGCCCATTGCCTTATTGTGTTGCCCAGAGACTGGATGACTTGGCATCTACCTACCCTTGCAGTCTAATCTGTAGGCACTCCAAAGCCCTTGAGTTGACCATGTCCTATGAGAAAGTCATGGTGCAGTCAAGGTGCTACTCATTCAAAAACTGCTTATTTAACTGCAGCTTTTGTGCCATGCTTTCTTCTCTGCTCTTTCAATAAGCCAATGCTTGAAATACCTGCATCTTCATCCTCTGCATGTAAGATGTGAGAAGCCTGCATGCAAGGAGGTAGGTAAGGGAGCATGACCAAAATCTCTTGAATGAAATTTCTTTTTGAAGAATAAGAAAGAGATAAATAAGCTAGACTTGAGTTTAAACATATAAACTAAAATAGGAAGACATGAGTACTGCTCTACTAGGAAGGGTTGGTAACAGACAGCTCTCCCTGACAGAATTTCCAACTGCCCTCCTCACCCTCTGCATCCAGAGAGGGAATTGCTCTTACAAAGTAATGGCCTACAAAGGTGCTGATTTAATTTCTTCTAGAACCTTCACTATTGTGAGAAGATCCTGAACAGCTAGTCATTATACGGTTTATTCAATAAGTCTTGTCCATACCATAGTTAATATGTAAGGACAGTACTGCTGTGCATGCAGTATATGTGTCTTCTCAGCCATGCACACCAAATTCATTCAGGAATCAGACAGCCAACTCGTAACAAAAATGTGCACAGAATATAGAGTAGCTATATAATTCCCTTTGTTTTCTTGTGTGAGTTTACAAGTTATTACATAGCACATATTGACAGTGATTCCATGAGCTAACTGCTTCAAAACTCAGCTTCTAGCAGCAAATTTTACTAGCTGATTCCAAGTCTGAGTCATCAGAATGTATGATTTACAAGAACTAGAGCATATAGAACAATATGTAGAAATAGACTAGCCAAAAGGAAAAAAAATATGAAACAGACTTTTGGGAGTCTCTTGAGATACTATGCTATGTCATGGGACAGTGAGATATATATGCTATGTTTTTATTGCTAATTTACTTTATATATGAAAAAAATGTATTTTAGAGCCAGGCACTGGTGTCACATGCCTTTTAATTTCAGCCCTTGGGAGGCAGAGACAAGTGAATTCAAGGCCAGCCTGGTCTGCAGAGTAATTTCCGTACAGCCAAGACAGAGAAACCTTGTCTCAACAAGGTTTACATCTCATACTTTTCGACAAACTGAACTTGCAGAAGAAAAGATTTCCCTGTAATTTTCTTTAAATTTGTAACAGTAATAAAGTAAATAGAGGTTTAGAGGGGGGAAGAAAAGACTTTTAGTGAGTTGAAATCCTGTGGGGATGGAGGCCAGGAGGCTGTTGAATGTCTGGTGTTTTGGTGAGCTGTGGTGGCTCTGTGATGAACTGTGTACGAGAGACCAGGCAGTAGCTTTTCAACATACTCTTAACTATAGTCAGTCCAGCCTTTATAAAAATATTCTGTCCATTTACAGAATATCATGGAATTTGAGTCCTCCCCTGGAAGTACAAACAAGATACATCTGTAAGTCTAAGATGTTTTGAAGACAGGATCCATTTGCTGTAATTTTATTTCTCTACATCATATACTTCAAAGGTAGTGCATCTAAACAGAAATCGGGCTCTTTTTGAGAGACTTCTTGTTGTTTTGTTTTTTAACATTTTTTTTAATGTTTGTTTTTGCTTCATTACATTTGTTTGTGTGACATGTGCACCCATACACGATGGTCAAAGAACAGCTATCGGGAGTTGATTATTATCCCACCTAAGGATTCTGAAGATTGAATTGATGTCATCAGGCTTGGAGGCAGCCTTGCTTACCCTGTGAACCATGTAAAAGTCACCAGCACAACCTGTTTTTGTTGTTTTAAACAAGTCATTTGTTCATTTGTAGTCATTTCTATTCCTACCCTGTCCCCAAACAAGCCATGGCCTGATTCTAATCACTACAATTTTGAGTTTTCTTCTAGTTTTGGACTTACAAAATGCAAAATCTCTTCAGTCTTCCTTAATGCAGTATTCTTGAGTTTAATGCACACTGTAGTCTGGTCTGTGGTGAGTGATACACTGTTAACACTAATACATAATTAATGACATAATACATAATGTACTCATCCTGTCTATCTGCTTACCCATTGATGAATATTTATATTTGCTTTGTGGTAAATATTTTGGAACAAAATTGCTTTTTAATGAGTTTTTTTTTTTTAATGTAAGAAACTTTCAAATTGTCTTCATACATGGCTGTGCTGATTTAAATGTCTTACTGGCCAGGTGAGAGTCATGGGTTTCTGAGGTTTTTTTGGTGTGGTGGTGCTTTTGGTTCTCATCCTTCTCAGTACTTAATGATGTTACTTTTAAACCTAGGTAGTGGTTATGTCATCTCTTTGTGGTTTTAATGTACATTCCTACAATAAATAAGGGATTTACTAGACATGTATTGCTTCTTTGGTGAAGGCTCTTCCAAATTTTGTCTACTTTTTTTGTGTGTGTATTTTTCAGTTCTTTACATATATTGAGTTCTATACATAAATTGCTTTATTATATAGGTATAAATTTTTTAGATTTTCTGCTAGTACATTTTAAAAGGCAAAAAATCTTGAGGTTGATATAGTCCATTTTCATGATTTTATTTTATTTTATTTTAGGCACAGTCCCACTATTTAATCCTAACTGACCTGGAACTCATTATGTAGGCCAGGCTAACTGGAGATTCCCCTATCTCTGCTAATATTAAAGGTGTGTGCCACAGAATAGTATTGTTTTTTATAAGTTGTACTTTACATATCATTTCTAATACATCTTTGTTTAGTCAAAAGTTACAAAGATATTACCTTATATTTTACAATTTTTGTAATTATTAGTACTTATATT